ACGCCGTTTTTGGGGAATTTCGGATTTTTTTGAATTTTTTCGCAATAATATTCGGAAAATAGATAACTTTTAACACATTTTAATGCAATAAAAATTTTTGGTCGGAGTCCCCCTTTAATCTTTTTTTCTCCATTTTTCAGCTACAGGTGCGATCAATAAGATGTACAAAAACGTGTTTTCCGGTTGTTTTTGAATATTCTAACCATTTTTGAATATTCTGACCATACAGATTCTGGAGCTCGGCTGTCAAGTTTCCGATCACTTAAAAAAAACTGGAGGTTATTAAACAGACCTAGTTTGAAAATTTTGCATTTACAGAATTTTTCAAAAGTTTCTGGTTTTCAGTTATTTGCCGATTTCTAAAGGACACTTGGCTTTTTTCACGTTTTCAGTACAACAACAGGTGTCCTTCAAAAATCGGCAAAGAACTGAAAAACTAGAAACTTTCACAAAATTCAGTGAATGCAAATTTTTCAATTTAGGCCTGTTTTATAATTTCCAAAATTTTCAAAGTGATTGAAACTTGACAGCCGAGTTCCAGACTAATGAAAATTTTCAAAATGCTCTAAAGTCATCCAATTTTTAAAAGTGGTATAACGTTTTTTTGTATATTAATGGCCAACGCACTCTGTAGTTTTCTGTATTGTTATCCATTTTTCAGCTCTGTGAGATTCAAAACAAAATTTTGAAACATCAAATTTCAAAATTTTCTCGCCATATTCTCATTCTTTTCGAAATGTTATAACCGTGTACCTCGTCTGAAGTGGTTTCCCGGCATGTCTGTTCCCGGGATAATTGGAAGAGAACTTTGAAGTTTTGATCAAATGGCAAGAATGGCAAACTAGATGAACTATTTGAGCGAAAAGTCATTCATTTGGATATTAATGAAGATGAAATAGAACTTTATTCTTTTTCTTTTTCCTTCTTCTCATCTTCTTTTTTTCGCGATCACTGACAGCTGATCGTTGAAAGAGAGCAACACAATGATGATGGAAAACGGGACGACACGCTTTGGTGCTCCCTGACAACCCCGAAATGAAGTTTTCTATTTTACATATGTATAACTTCTGGACACAATACACAAAAAAACTAACGTGGGAGCGTTTAGATTAGTTCTCGGTAGCCTACGTGACTTTCTAGGTAGCCTACCTGAAGGAGAACACTGGCGTAGAGAAAGTACTCCTGAAGAAAACGAAGGAAGTGACAGGCGAAGCTTGGTAGAAGCCATCCACGATCAATCAGGACTAGTATAGCATCCGGGGAGCAGAATATGAGATTTCCAAGGTCAGCGATCGCCAGATTGAGGAGGAATTGGTTCACAGAAGAGCTCATTAGCTTACGATCCATGATTATTACAAAAATTATGAAGACATTGCCAATAACTCCAGAGCAGATGATGATCATGAAGACAAGGCCAAACACGATGAAGTACAGTTTTGGGTGGCATGAGAAACAGGATGGTTCGGAAGCCAAGACGCTCATAACGGTGGTGGTTTGCTCGATGAGGTTGGTGATGTTTCCAGAGTTCAGAACTTCTACAGACTTCTCTATGACACTTGTCATGTTGGCAGGATCCGCGATCATGGTCTCCAAAGTTGACTTCGCTTGACTATGGCACTATAAAGATGTTAGAATTCATTAGAAGAAGGAAGTACAAGTACTTCGGAACACAATGAAGAAGAAAAATCAAATGCGTGAAAAGGAAAAAAAAAGAAAAAAGATTGAGTTATTTTAACCACCCAGAAACATTGTTTAAGAATATACGAAAAGAAGAAGTCCTGCAAAAAAGGAACGTTTGCCCTTTTTAAAAATGTTCATAGGGTTTCCCTATAATTAGATATTTGGATAACAGCAGCAGAATTAAAAAATAAGGAAAAAAACTAGGATTTTATCCGATTTCCACACTACTAACAATAACACTTTTTCCTTCACTAAGAATAATAGGAGACGACCAAAAGTGGGCGGAGCCTTGAATGGAGAGCAAGGCGTTTTGTGCATTCGGAAAAAAAAACGAAGCGGTTACGCGCGGGGCTAGGCAAAAGCGAAAAAAAGAAACGTGCATCAGGAATTGGGCGGGAGCAGCACGAAATGAATAAGAATTTCGGAAATTTGCTTGGCCGATCATCTTGATGAGTGTTCCGAAAAAAGTTTAGCAAGAAGAAGAGAGAAGAAGAGAGAGTGATGAGTAGCTGGTTGAACTAAAAACAGAAATGAAATAGGGTTGTGGTGGTGGTCCAGATTGGAAAAAGAAGGGATCTTTTTAGGGGTTTCAGTATCCTTTGTCACAGAAACTCATCTCTTTTAAGTGTTTTTCCAGAGAGAAATGTTTTTCGGACGACTCTAAGTGACCACAAATTTCTGAATTTCTGAATTTCTGAATTTCTGAATTTCTGAATTTCTGAATTTCTGAATTTCTGAATTTCTGAATTTCTGAATTTCTGAATTTCTGAATTTCTGAATTTCTGAATTTCTGAATTTCTGAATTTCTGAATTTTTGAATTTTTGAATTTCTGAATTTCTGAATTTCTGAATTTCTGAATTTCTGAATTTCTGAATTTCTGAATTTCTGAATTTCTGAATTTCTGAATTTCTGAATTTCTGAATTTCTGAATTTCTGAATTTCTGAATTTCTGAATTTCTGAATTTCTGAATTTCTGAATTTCTGAATTTCTGAATTTCTGAATTTCTGAATTTCTGAATTTCTGAATTTCTGAATTTCTGAATTTCTGAATTTCTGAAAATTGTGTTTCTGTGAAACTTGATATTGTAAGAACCAAGATATTGTAGGAACTTCAAAAATTCGTAAATTTTTTTAAACAAAAAATCTAAAAATAATTGAAAACAATTTTGCAAGCAAATAAAAAGTTTTGGACGACTTCTACAGTACAGACTTCTACAGTTTTCTACAGTAAGACCAACAAAGCAAGAATCAAAAAATATTATTTCATTACCTAAACTGATGATCTTTGAACACCTTCAAAAATGGATTTTGTGAATAATATTTTGAAGAAATCGTGATTTTTCTAGAATCAAAATTTTTTTAAATATTTAAAAATAGTTTTTGCAAAACCAAAAAAGATTTTAGGAAACCCTTCACTAGTTTTTAAAGCAGATATGCTAGAATAATTTTTTCAACTCATGAAAAACAAATTGCTGAACTTTTTTTCTCGTCTTTTGAACGAAACTTATCAAATTTCGAGAAGAGTAAAAGTTATACTAGAAAAATCACTTCCAGCTATTTTCTAGTGACATCTCTGAAACTTGATATAGTGATAAATAAGAGAAAATAACGTCTTTCGTTTTCTCTCTACGCCAAAATTAATCTTTACAAGTTACTATGAACGTCATCGGTGCGATAATATGGAATGCGTGATGAAAAGGAACTTTTCTTTCCTGATTTTTTCTCCTTCTAGCTCTGATGAAATGAAATCACGAACTTTTTTTTTCTTGCTATCTGCTCTTTTGAGCTGTTTTCGCCTCCCCGAGGATAGGGGAAAGACATGTGTTTTGCTTTATCAGAAACAAAAAAAAAAGTGTGAACAAGTTTACGAGTCTACTGAGACTTCCACTGGAACTTTTGCACGTCGTTCTCGATTTTAAACGATTTGAGCGGAGAGTGAAAATTTAAAAATTTTGAAAACTGTTAGTCTCAAGTGGGTAAAACTATTATTCTATGACGCATTTCTAAAGACCAGTGTTCTTTTTCCAGAGTGCTTCTTCTCTTTTTCTGCAAATTGAGAAGATATCCAATTGAAGCGCATCCTAATAAATAAAAGATACACCCTGTTTGTTTTTTCGTCGTTGTTGTCCTATCCTACTGTGAGAAATTTGGGTGAGGAGGTAGACTAAATAGGTTTTCCCCCTTTTTTCGAGCAGATATCTCCCAAGTAGTGCACTAGCGTCGGCTCCAGAAACTTGTGTTGTACAAAAAACCCATCCGTTGGGAATTCAGTTGCGTGAAATCATTATTCAACCTTTTTGTAGACTCTTTGGACTAAAGAATGATAGAGGAAAAAGGTTTAGGATGTTTTTTGGAGAGCTTTTCTTAAAATTGGGTGATGCAAAGAACGGAAGAAGGCTAGGAGAATAGGAGGTCTGGAAAATTTTTAATCTTTTGAATCTAGTTCTCATGTAACTGTCAATAAACATAAATGAGCACAAAGAGTTCCGAGAAGATTAGAAAGATCCTCTGAAAGGTCATAAACTGTCTGGGGGAATGAAGAGGCTCAAAATTGCCAAGACATTTATAGTTCTGGGATCAGAATATTCAGCTTTTTAGGTTATTCGAGAATTTGTTTAACTCGTTTCAGAGGAAATAAATTTCTTTTACTCGTTTCAGGAAAGATGGGAACTTTGAAACTCTAAGAAAGTAGTTCAGAATTTTTCGATTTGAAACAAAATTAGAGCTTCATTTTTGTAATTCAATCCCATTTCAGAGCTAATTTTGGAATTTCGAATTTTTTGGTTTTAAACGACATGTTTCCGGGATTCATCAGAAAATTTGTTTGTCAATAACAAAATGAAGCCATAATCTTGTTTAGTACACTCTGGTATTTTCAGAAAAATCGAAAAATTCTGTAAACGTTTTCAGGACTTCAACGATGGCAATCTTACTGTATACCGTTACCAGGCCTGTGCGGCAACAAAATTTTTTCGGCAATTTGGCAACTCGACAATTTGCCAAATACTTTTCGGCAAATTGCTTGAAAAATTGCCGAAAAAAAATGTCGGCAATTTCGGCAACTTTCGGCAATTTTCGGCAACAAAAGTTTTGTGTCTTTTTTTTAGTAAAATCGATACGTAACTCACCTGAAAATGCTTTTATCAGGCTCAGAACTACAGAAAATGTGTTTCATAAGTTCCTTAAAAAAGTAATTACAAAAATTGGCAACTCAAGACCACATTTTTCATGCAAACTATTTCTCTTTAGCAATAAAGAGGGTATTCCAATGGTTGAAAATATTTGTTCCGATTGTGAGTTTTGATAATAGTGCGCTCAACTTGTTAGGCAACTCACGACACACGTTCCCTAGAGATTTGAGACAGATTGGATAATTTTTTTTGATGAGTTGTGACTCATGATATCTATTTTTCTCTTATGCTCACAAATTTAAAGCCCATTTTTAGATCCGAAGCAAGTATTTTTGATGATTATTAGGACACATTTCCTCTAAAATTCACTCTGAGCTTCCTCTAAAATTCACTCAACGGCAAATCGGCAACAAAAATTCGGCAATTTCGGCAATCGGCAATTTGTTGCCGCACAGGCCTGACCGTGACGCCAAAAATCCTAAGTCTTCTAGAAATCAAATATTCCTACTTTCAGAAATTGAGCTCTCTAAATTAAACTACCACAAACCATTTCTCGGGAAGCAAACATTCCTATTAAAATTTCTAAACTTTGATTTCCTGGAATTTCTCTGACGAATCCAGAAAAACAAGGAAACTCTCTTGATTGTCCGAGCGGACTCTTGATTGTCCGAGCTTTTTCAAAACAAAGACATCCTTCCGCTGTTTTCAGCTTCTTTCCAGTCGCTCCCCGCCCCAGTTTCCGGCTCCCCGGCGCGTCATAATTATCGCGTGTGTCCTGAGGGGATCCATGGCCTGTCACAAAAACGTGGACCTCTCAAAAGTATGATTGAAAATGGAGCTTGGTGAGGGTTAGGAGACCAAAGAGATGTGAACAGCGAATAAGTATCTACTGAAGGTAACAAAATTTAAAAAAAAACGACTCTCTGTTTTTTTTCGCGGGTTTCCCATGTGTGTTAGTATTCAAAAAAATTTCAAAAATTGTTAAAAAACCAGACCATTTTCTCGGGGATTACTGATTGAAAATTTTGTGAGTCTTTGCCAATTCCGGAAAGAAAGGATTGAAGGAATTTTTCCTTTGAGAAAATGTGAAAATTTCCAAAAACAAACCAGATTTATTTTTGATATTTTCAGTTTGTTTTCTGTAGTTTGATATAGGCTTCAGGCTATAATAAGATGTTGGAGAAATGAAGGATTTTGAGATTTTCAAAAATAAAACTTGAAGGTCACTTAGAGGTTCCTAGAACAATTATTATTTTCTCACGCTTGTTGTTTTTTGATGACGACAAGTGTCTAAATATTCTCCATCGTATATTTTTATGTTCATAGAACAAAAAAGTCTGGCGAAAAATCTAGATTTCATTGTATCGATGACCAGGAACACAATCTAATGTCAAAAAAGAGGGATAATGATGAATAGAATAAGAAAAAGATGTTCTAATTTAGGCGTTGTTATTTATTTTGGAGATGATGGTGTTCAATCTTGGGTGACTGGTCGTTCCGGAAACGAAAATGAAAATGTCTAGAAAAAAAAAAACTAAATGAAAAATTTCAAGTTTGTGGTTTCTGAGTAAGAGCTAACAATAAAATATTGAGAGTTACGTTCAAAAAGATAAAAACGTGATATTTGTTGATTTTTGGCCATTTTAAGCACTTTCAGAAGTTCAGTGCTCGGCTGGCAAGTTCAAGATCATTTTTGAAATTTCGGGGAATGTAAAACAGACATAGATTGAACACTTTGCATTCGCAAAATTTTTTGAAAATCCCTAGTTTTT